AAAACACAAAGCGTTTTTCATAGTTTGGGGGGACTTCTTGTAGTCGTATTGCTGACTGTCCTCTTGAAACACGTCAGATAAATAAACGTTCACAGGACAGTCATTACTTTACACTCTTTATTTGTTATTACCACCCTCTACAGGGTGGTTCCAGCACCAACACGACCGACATAACTCAAACAACAACTGATCTTGGACCAGGCTACGGACAGGACATATGTTTCGTGGTCTACTGTGATTGGTTCAGCCACACCGTCTGTTTGTCCAATAGCGGGTAGACATCTGTTCGCTGGAGCAACTCTAAAATATTCCCCTCTCTTCCTCCTGCACAGTCTTTTTGCTGTCCTGCCCGGCGACGCTCCTGCAGAGCTGCTGAAAGTTGAGCTTAAAATGGGGAAAATGCAAGTCTTAGGAGTAATTGCAGTAATATTAGCAGTGTACTGTGTACATGCGAAGATTTACTTTCGGGAAGAGTTTCTGGATGGTGGTAAGTTGTGCAGAGAATTTTTATAACTTTGCAAGGTTAGCACTTCACTGCCTGTTAGCTTGACTTTGAGACATCGTTGTGTCACAAAAAATGTTGTCTAGACTGTGAGTCCTCTCAAAAATACCACCTTTTCCGTTAAATAACCGAAAGTGCATTGATAATTGGCAACATTCATTAAGGTCGAAGGGAGCAGACGTAATATCGATATCAGTTAATAATCGTCGTCCAAGTTGCAGTTACTGAAACTAAATTTCGACATTGACAATTTGTCGTCGCATCTACAATTACTGGGAAATTGTGAGACGATTTTCACGACGTACCATGCTCTATTGACGCGGGACTGTTAATCCTCAGCAAACTTACTGGTTGTTTTCTGAACAGATGAATGGAGAAGTCGCTGGGTGAACTCCAAGCACAAGTCAGACTACGGAGAGTGGAAACTCACGGCTGGCGACTTCTATGGCGATGCAGAGAAAGACAAAGGTACATGTTCGGACTTTCTAATGTAAATCTTCATTACAAAGTTTTCTTTTGATCAAAATAGCATTTACTGTTGTCCAAATGACAGCAAGGCACTTGACATTTAATGTTTTCCTGTTTTTTTTAAAAAAAAACATTTTTTATTTCTATTATAGAAGTGAAAATGAGTCATTTGATCATAATAAGCAGTAGTAATGTCTCGAATAGCCCCTACAAAGTGCCCTCATGTCTGATTTCCATTATGGTTCCTACTTCTTTATGTTTGTTTAAAGCTGAACAAACTATATTTAGTTTTGGTTTGATACTTTCATTTTCAGGTCTGCAGACAAGCCAGGATGCACGTTTCTATGCGGCCTCTGCCCGTTTTGATTCTTTCAGCAATGAGGGTAAGCCTTTGGTCATCCAGTTTACAGTCAAGCATGAACAGAAAATCGACTGTGGTGGTGGCTACGTAAAAGTCTTTCCTGCGGACTTGGAGCAGACTGAAATGCATGGAGAATCCTCTTACTACATTATGTTTGGTAAGTAATAATGACCTGTGTGATTTACAGTGCTTCTAGCTGTCACTGGATTTGATATGTGTAATAATTAATTTTATTCCTTTCCCCTAGGCCCTGACATTTGTGGCTACAGCACCAAGAAAGTTCATGTAATTTTTAATTACAAAGGCAAGAATCATCTCATCAAGAAAGAGATTAAATGCAAGGTAATTCTTGTGTTTTGAAGTCCTTATTTTTAAATGGGAACCTGCTTCTTCACCAAAGGCTTTAGTCTAAACCCTGCTTCTTTTTTTTGCTTTTTCTTTCTAGGACGATGAGCTGACCCACCTGTACACACTAATCCTGAATCCAGATCAAACCTATGAAGTAAAAATCGATAATGAGAAGGTGGAATCTGGCAGTCTGGAGGATGATTGGGACCTTCTGCCTCCTAAAAAAATTAAGGACCCTGAAGCCAAGAAGCCAGAGGATTGGGATGACCGTGCCAAGATTGATGATCCTAGTGACACAAAGCCTGAGGTGAGTAAACTCAGTACAGTCATTCTACCACCTCTTACTTTGCTCTGCGCAAAGAGTTGTTTATTTTAACCTTAGTATTTTGTGTTTTTTTTTTTTGTTTTTTTTTTTCTCTAGGACTGGGACAAGCCCGAGAATATTCCAGATCCTGATGCTAAAAAGCCTGAAGACTGGGATGAGGATATGGACGGAGAGTGGGAGCCACCCATGATCCCCAACCCAGAGTACAAAGTAGGCTAGAAATTGATCACCAAAATACTTTAATATTAATATATAAAATACTTAAAATGCTTTTAAATTACATTACTGATAACCCTTTTTAACTTCCTGTATTTCAGGGAGAATGGAAACCCAAGCAGATTGATAACCCCAACTACAAAGGAGCCTGGGTGCATCCTGAAATTGACAATCCTGAATACAGCCCAGACTCGAACATCTACAAGTTTGACAACATTGGTGTTTTGGGTCTTGATCTTTGGCAGGTGAGACACAGTTCATCTTTTAAGGTATGTGGTAGCGGCAGTTGAGCTACAGTCTAACAGTTTTGGTTTTGTTTTGTTTTTTCCCCCTCCCTCCTCAGGTGAAATCTGGTACAATCTTTGACAACTTCCTGATCACAGATGACGTGAAAGAGGCAGAAGAGATTGGAAAGGAGACATGGGGTGTGACAAAGGTCTGGCCTTATTCTTTTTAACTCATAACTTGTTGTTCATGCAAAGCACAAAGTCTGCCCCTATGAACTACTGCTGTAATTAAAAGACTTGTTGTTTTGTTGTTGTTGTGATTCCTTGCAGGAGCCAGAGAGAAAAATGAAACAGGAGCAAGATGACCTGAAACGAAAAGAGGAGGAGGAGAAGAACAAAGAGCAGGACACTGAAGCTGCTGATGATGAAGATGAAGAAGAAGAAGAAGAGGAGGAGGAGGAAGAAGAAGAAACGAAAGAAGACACAGACGAGGCGCTTTCAGAAACAGATGAAGAAGAAGGAAAGCTTAAAGATGAGCTTTGAAGGGTTGTTGGCATAGAATTTGTTTGTTTGTTTTTTTTTTATTTTATTTTTTCCCTTTTTTGGGGGCAGGGGTGCTCCCTCAGGAACTGTCCTATATTTCCCAGGGGTATTGTGGCTGCTGTGCATCCTTTCCCTGAGATTTGGACACAACCCAGCTAAAGGGTGATTTGCAGTAGATTGGAAGGGGGGGGGGCAAATGGTTTGTAACATACTTGGGGTCTTTCATTTTGATCTTGTTAACCCTGAACTGCTGGATTAATTCTAAGGTTTTCCACTCAAAGTACATTCTTTATTTTGTAATAACAGATAATAACGATAAACCGTCACCTGCTCTGTGCTAGATTTTTAGATTTTCTTAAACTAGCCCAGACTGTATATAAGATTAATCTATGCAGTCTGTGGTCTGCATGTCTACTTTTTTGCAAATGCCCTTTTGTTTTTCTTTTAGGGTGTTTGAAAGAGCTGAAAATGTAGTAATTATATTAAATTAAGAACATCAGCCACTCAGATTTCAACGTTAACTCTGAAACAGAACATACAAAGCATAAACCAAAAGTTGTGACCATAAAAAAAATATATATGTGAAGAGACAAATCAATACTATGATGACTTCTTTTGGTTATGTATGCAGCACTGTCTTTTTCTTTTGTCCCCACACTCTGAATTGAATTAATTGATTAGGCATGAATTGATGGGACCTGCATCATATTTTGAAAGTCTGGACAAACCAGTGGTGAGCCCCTGTGTGTGTCTTATTTTTATGGGACAGAATGTTATTGATACCAAAGTTTTTATTAAAAGATTATAACCTTATTGTCCACTGATATTTTGTGTGAGAGAGTGTTCACAGTTTAGAAGCACTGCTTGTGGTTTAGATGTAAATTAGTGGACTCCACGCCAACTGTTTCAAAAAGGAATGTCAAATGAAGTTTCATTTCCTCCATCTGTGAATAAAACTCTTCTAAAGATTCAATTCAATCAATTAAGAAGTTTCTGTTTATATCCAAGCTTGGTATGAATAAATATACTTTTTTTTTTTTTAGAGAAAATACTGGAAATTTAAAAAAACAAAACACTGATTGTCAAATGCATACTATTTTTTCCTTATTGTTTCACCCAAGAGCAATAGAAAAAATATTCATACTGTGAAAGTCACTTCATGTCAAGGAGACCATACATGTTAATGATATCTAGTGCCTGCTTCATTATATCTTCCCCAGAAAAAATTCTGGAGAAGTATAGAAAACGCTAGTATTTGGGGGCCTGTAATCCATGTGTCTTTGGGTTAACTACAATTACACTTCACCTAAGAATATATATATATATATATATTAGTGTGTGTGTGTGTGTGTGTGGGGGGGGGGGTTCTGAAATGTAGTTCACAAATAGCCATGGAAATTATCTGGTGTAAACTTAAAAACTGAAAACAAAATGTGTTTGTAAACAGTAACATAAGTCTTCATAAAATCTGCCTGTTACTTTGTATGATTTTTGGTGTACCACATCTCGAAAAAATGAATGTGGGACTAAGGGACATCTGAAAAATTAAAATATAAGACAAACTATTTAGCGTCAATCCAGTGACTGCATTAAACTGAATGTTTTTTCTAATTCATTAGAGACCTTAAAGGACACTAAAGCTTGGATTTATGGGCTTTATCCACTCGTGTATGTCTTAAATTTCTGTAATAGAAAAGCAGCAGCGACGTCATCCCTGTAAGACCCACGTGTTGTCTGCAGCCAATGAAAATGTAAGACGCTGTAGGACCGGGTACTAGGGGTTAAAAAATGCCGTGTAGTCCCAAGTAAAGTTGGACACCTGCTGACCACACATGCAAACGATCCCAGGCCTCTAGGAATGAAAACCTCATTTCATTTTAATAGGATTCAAATTTGCGTAGTTGCTCTGCAGCTCTGACAGGGGCGCGGTGTCCACACCCACCGGAACCGCGGTCCCCGCCGGTCCCCAGGCGCTCGCGCCCGCTCCCTTTAAGGACTCTGTGCGCACTCCCGAGACACCAGGAGATATGGCGGCGTTCATGACTCTGAGTCAGGTAACAACTCCAAACAGCTCAAGAAAAGTAATAAAATTTATTAGAAAGCGTTAACATCTGACAGCGACAGCGTGTGATCTGACTGCTTTAGGTCTTCATAAGATAGGGTGAATATAAACTACTGTGAACGCTTGATTAAGCTTTCGCTGTCAACTAAGTTGACAGGGTTAGCTAGGTTAGGATAGCAAAGTTAGTGTACGCTTTAAAGGATGAGGAAAGCGACTGCTGGCGAAGACAGTAATGAAGCTAGTGTAGAGTGTGGTGCTGTCGAAAACAAAACACGACTAAGTGGCAACTAAAAAAAGATGGCCTTTACTTTATGAACTAAATATGTTGGAAGTTTGTTGCCATTGAAATTAGCCATTCGTTTTCTAGCAACTTAATTTAGTATATTTGATGCTTAATACACATTCATTTGTAATTTGTTTCCTTCAGTTATCAAGTGGAAACCCAGTTTATGAAAACTACTACAGACTGGTAAGGTCTACGTTGTTTGCTGTTGCTCCCCCCCCCCCTCACTTCAGATCATTTACTGTGCATTCATCTCTGTATGATCTTTTATGTAACCCCATTCTTAAAGACACTTCTATCCTCTGTATCCTCCTGGTAATTTCCTCATGATTCTTTATAGCTCGACCCAGGAAACACAGGCAAAATATCAGCTGGCGATGCAGCTCAGTTTCTTAAGAAGTCTGGCCTGTCAGACAACACACTGGGAAAGGTGGGTAACAGTGTCACCTACAAGTACACACAACACACAGTCATGTATTTGACCCAACTAAAATCTTGTACCTTTGCATTTATTCATGTACGTATTTTAGATTTGGGATTTGGCAGATTCAGAAAGAAAAGGCTATTTGGACAAGCGGGTAACGCAGAATTTCTTTGTAAATTTGACGGTATAGTCGTGCTGATGCATGCAGAAAAAACAGGATTTGTTCTGCTTTCTTCCTCTTTTTTTAGGGTTTCTTCATAGCTTTGAGGCTGGTGGCATCTGCACAGGGTGGAAATGACATAAGTCTTCACAATCTCAACCAAAACTTAGCTGCACCCAAATTTGTAAGTTATAATTACAAATAACTCCAAAGAACTGAATTAATCAATAATGTTATGGGAATTATTTCTGTGGATTATATGAAAACTTCATTATTTAGTGTCTTAGAAAATAAGTTGATGCATTTTATTTCACTTTGTCTATTTCTTCTTTTTTCTTATAGAAAGATACAAGCAGCCCATTACTAACTGTTTCAACAACAGCATCTGATTCACAGTGGGCCATTAAGGTAAAATGTTATAAGGTTTCAAGAACTGTCATGAGGATATCACAGAAAAATGGGCTTGTCACCTAAACTTGAGTTTGTTTGTTTTTTCTTTATTTCCCAGCCTGATGAAAAGGGAAAGTTTGAGGGAATTTTTGAGAGTCTGTTACCTGTGAATGGCCTCCTCCCTGGTGATAAAGTCAGGCCAGTTTTGATAAACTCCAAGCTACCTCTGGATGTGTTAGGAAAGGTGATGTTACATGTCAAGTAATACTATGCAACCTTTTTTTTGATATAACTGTAATTTTAACAGTTTGTTAAAATTAAGCACTTACTCATTGTTTGTGCAGATTTGGGACCTAAGTGATGTGGACAAAGATGGACACTTGGACAAAGAAGAATTCACCGTGGTAAACTGTGATTCCGTACTGACATATTATCTGGGTTCCCTTTTTTATTTGTAATAATTGGTTATACTTTCCATTTTACAGGCTATGCATCTTGTGTATCGCACCATGGAGAAGGAGCCGCTCCCCACTAGTTTACCCGCTTCCCTTATCCCCCCTTCTAAGAGGAAGAAGGCTGGGGTTGGACTTCCAGGTGCTGTTCCCGTGCTGCCTGCTCTGTCTGGCCTTGGAACTGGTCCAGCTCTTCTCAAAGAAACTTTACGCAGCACTTCTCCTCTGGTCAACACCACTCCCCTCAGCACTGCTGCTCTCTTTGGCTCCGGTGCTGCCAACCTTTCTCCAAAACAGTCCTTTAAGTCCAGTTCTCCGGTATGTTGCCTCACATTGCTTGTGTGGACAGTATTATTAGTCGAAGTTGCGCAAATGCCTCTTTTTGGCCGTTGAGCCATGTGATTAAACCTAATATATAATATCAATGTAATGGACAGCACAGTGATGTTGCTTCAAAAAGTTTCCCCTCCTAGGGTTGGTCTTTGTGGAGGTTGCATGTTGTACCTTTACCTGCATAAGTTTTTGAGTCCTCCAGTTTCCTCCCACAGTCCAAAGAGAAGCATATTGTGTCAATTGATGATTTTAAATTGGATATGTGTATACAATTGAAGCACATAATAAAGTGCTCTCTGAAGCTGATGTTGGTGGAAAGCACTTTGAATGATCATATCAGATATGACCATGCATATCAAACGAATGGTCTATATGGACTATTTGTTTGATGTAATGAGGGAAAAATCACTACATTTGTTTATTTATTTTTTTTTTTCTTGGTTCTCTCTACGTGTCACAAGGGCAGATTCTTAACTCTTAAACAAGCTAGGTTGCCATGTATTAACTGTCTTTTGTTGCAAATGGGTAGACTTGTTTTGCCACATTGTTCTGAGCATTGTTCAAAGGCCAACCTCTCTCTACCAGGATACAGCTTCAGGGATTTTAATTTTGGAGAAACAGGTTTTCTTGAAAGTAACGAGTAGCAATACTTGTACTACCTTTGTACCTTGACCACTTGATCAGTTGTTATGTTGTTCTGTCTTTTTTTTTTTTTTAATTCATGGCCCTTTCTGCTTCTTTAAATGCTTTATCGTATATTTTGTTTTTTAATAGTTTGTTTTTTGACAGAAATAAAATGCAAGGTCATCTTTGCATTTTTTTGCATATATTTTTTGCATTTTTTATTAGCTTGATTAGTTACAGTTTTAATGTCTTGTGTATGTTGTGTGAATGTTTGTGATAGGGCAGTGAGAAAGCATCCTGCATCCTACAAATGCAGTTCCATCTAGCTGAGGACCGTGTTTTTGTTCTTTTTTTGTTGTGTTTTGTTTTTACTGATCTGTTTTAACCATTCCATTGTGCAGATTCACAAATTCCTCTTGTTGTATGAAGTAAACCTGTCTGCACTGAAGAAGAACTGTGTGTTTGTTGTATACTGAATGCTGTGTTCATCATTTCATATCACACAATGTCTTCTGTTGTCTCTAGCCGGCGGTGAACTGGGTTGTACCAGTGGCTGACAGAGAGAAATATAAAGAAATTTTCAAGAACACGGACACTGACAATGACGGCCTCGTCAACGGCGGCGATGTCATCGAACTCTTCATGAACTGTACGCTCTCCCAGACGATGCTCGCACAGATATGGTAAGACCACAGCTCAGCTCAGACATATTTAGAGATTTTGTTTGTTGGGGTTTTTTTGTATGTTGTGAATAACATGGTCCCAAAGCACTACAGTGTAAGAAAACACAAGCAAATTACATTTTCTTCATTACACCCTCACAGTGGCTTTTAAATACAATAATTCATATATGGTTGAAGTGCAGACTTTCAGTTTTCATTCATAAGGGAATCAATAAAAGTATTACATTAATCATTATTAGGATAAAAATCCTTTACATTTAATGACTGCCTGAATTCTAGAACACATGGGCATTGCCATATACTGTCTCTCCTCCATTGAAAACCTCTGCCAGGCCTTTACTGCAGCCACCCTTAGTTGCTGCTTGTTAGCAGCTCTCTATGCCTTAAGTTTCGTCTTCAGTTACTGAAAAGCATACTCTGTTGGGTTGAGATCAGGTGACTCACTTGGCCGTCAAAGAATATCCAATTTCTTGCCCTTGAGAAACTATTCGGGCTCTTTTGCAGTTTGTGTTGAGTTATTATCCATTTGTGCTGGGCACTGTGTTGCTTACACATTCATAAAGGTGTTTGATTGTATGTGTACCTCCTGGAGAGTGTTCTTGATTTGGTTATATGAAAAATGATGGGTCATTTTTCATAACCATAGAAATAATTCTGTCATCATGAACTTCGGGTGTTCCTGAGCTTTCAATTGCATTTCTTCTTATTAGGAGAGAACAAGTTTGTGGATTTGACCAGTCCTAAAATTGTTGCCATCTCTCTGATAGGTTTTATCTTAACGTGTACATTTAAAATCCACTGTGTTGGTGTCACAAAAACTGTTTCATTGTTCAAAAAGTTATAGACCTAACTCTTTTTGTTGCCATTGTGTTAAATTGGTGAAGATGTCAACATTTTCATACATTTTTACACTTTGTCCTGTTTTGATTCAATTCAGTTTTGACTCTGTCAGAAATATTATAATTCTGATAATTCCTCTTGGATGTATACTGTTCAAAGAACTCTCTAAACATTGTAAGTTAAAAATGCATCATTCCAAATTATTTGACTATTTCTGTGCAATTACGAAGGAGGTGAAAAAAACCAAATCAAACAAAAAAAAAAAAAACAGAACTGACACGTGTGAGACATTATCAGAGGTGTAAGCATCACAGCAAATGCCTTTGTGTCAAAGTAACTGAGGATAAAACAGAGAAAAATGTGAAGGAGATTTTCCTGGCTTGATCTTTTATAGCATATAACCCCCCTGAAAATACGCTGCAGTAGATCAAAAACTAAAGAAAACCACGAATTAACATGTGGACATTACCTGTACAAAGACTGATGCTGCTGAAGCAAAACAGAGCAAAGTTACAGCGATTTTATCACTGTCGGAGATTATTTTGGGGAGAGAAAAAATCAGAAGCTGACAACAATGTATACAACAGACTGGTGCGTAATAGGCAAGTGAATAATGCAGGAAAATAGAGGTTTTTTTTTTAATGGGAAACTGGTCTTGAAGTATAGAGGTATATTGGTCAGAGAGTGACGAAGCCTGCAGTTCAGAATCTGTCAGATGTCGGCTTTCGGCACTCGACATGTCCATGTACGAGCTGTCGGGTTAACGACGCCTTGTTTACATCTTTTTGCAAAATCCGTTTACCTGCTCTTTAATCATTTGCTGTTTTAGCTGTTTGGCAATTGTTGAAATGTTTTTGTGAGCTTTTAGCTGAGGTTCTGGCTTTTATGGCAAAATACATTTATATTTAAAAATTAATTTTAAATGAATCAATATCAGATTATTCAGATTAAAATCAATTTGAATGGGGAAATTGCTTTTTTTTTTCTCTATTTTTAAAAATACAAACATAGTCAGGAGGATTCTCCCAGATAAAGCTATATAGCACCATCTTGTGGCCACTTAAAATTAGATTCAAGAAGTTTATTGTCATATACAATAAAAACACAAATGGTTACAATGAGCAATGAAATTCTTACTTTGCAAGTTCCCTTCACACAACTAAATACACAAATGACAAAAAAATTAAATACACCTAAGAATAGAAAATAATAAAGTAAAGCGAATGCTGTGTAAACAAGAGTAGGGTGTAGTTAAAATTTTAAAAGGCAGTGCAAATATTAATTGTTTATATTCTATGAAGTTGTATTGTAGTGTATATAAATGTTCAAAATTGCGAATTTATAGGTCAAGTTATTGAAGGCATTGACAAATCATCTGAGTTCAACCAAATGACTACATTTGGTCTAGAGAAGTGCAACAGAAGTGTTTTTTAAAAAAAAAATGATTTAAAGGATGCTCACTTAACCAGCATAAAATGGACTATTTGTCCGTGGTAACCACTCAGTGGGGATTTATATTTGTAAAAATTGCTGATATTATTGCTCAGAAGTATGTAATAGGGTGAGAAAAATGTCTCCTCTTCCTCCATAGGGGACTTGCTGACACAAAACAAACAGGCAAGCTGAACGAGGAGCAGTTTGCTCTAGCCATGCATTTGATCCAACAAAAGGTCAATAAAGGCATCGACCCTCCCTCTACTCTCACTCCTGACATGATCCCTCCATCAGAACGATCTGCATCATCAGCTATGGGCTTTGTGAGTTCTGCCTGTACCATATTCCAACCACTTCTCCATCTGTCTGTTTGCCAGTTTATTACAATTTTTTTCCTTTTTTACAAAGTGCTTTTTAAAAATTTGCATCTGTACCGTCAGCGTGTTTACCTTCATAACTTATGCTATTTAAGTGGTTCTTATTTATTGCTTTCTAGTCCTCAAATGCAAAACCTTTTCTTTTTTTTTCTTTTTTTTTTTATTGTTTACAGTTTTTATTCTTTTGCCTTCTTGGGATCTTTTCTATCCTGTCTAACAGAACTATGTGGGGTTTGTCTTCTGTGAGACCAGAACTTGGTTCCTTTTTTAAGGTGCACATTGTGAGTAGTTGGGCCTTTGCCACAAGGTGGCGCTCTTGTTCTATTATATTCTCTCTCTCTGTTCCAAAGAGAAGGTGAACAATAATATGGGAACATTTAAAGTGCTGCCACCTGCTGTATTTTCATCATCACTGGCTTGACATTTTTTGATCTTCAAGGAAACGCAGCATAAGAGAATACCGTTCTATTATATTACAGAGGATATAATAGAACAAATCATTTTTAATATGAGTAGAGAAATGGGGCCACTGTTAAGTGGGCAATCAAGTAAACCAGCATGTAACCTTTTATTTAAATTTATCTGGGGGAAAAAACATGAATTACCATTACCAAGAAGTTAGCTTTTTATTTTTCAATGAGTGTAAAAGTAAAATTTAATCTGTCTGAACTAAGTGGGTTTAAGCTTGACTGCCAAGGTGAGGAAAACAAATCAGTTACTCCAGTTGAGCTTTTCAGACCAATCATGCTTTTATTATTAATATTATTAGATTAATGTCGTCATTACAGTAAATTCTAAGAAACACAATTTAATTTAAATGCACTGAAATTCTGGGCCAATAACAACTATAAATAGGAAATGAACCAATAGCTGATGGTGTTGGCATCAGCTATCAGTTATATTTCTGTATTGTTCTGCTACTATTGTGTAGCTCTCATGGATAGTCTCCTATTTCAGGTGAAACGCGAAGCTTAAATAGATTATGTGTTGTCTTGGTCTGCTTCAGCAATTTTGCGAATTGCCCAATATTTTTCGTTTAGGCCTCTTGATACGGCATGGGTCTGTTTAACAATGAACAGTCTTCCAAAATTTACTGTTGCATTGAATTCTTTTAAATAGCCTTGTGTGCAATTTATGTATCGTCTGGCTGGCTTGCTCCTACGCTAACTGTGTGAGCTGTTTGTATTTCCTTCCTCTGACTTTTGTTTCTTTAGACACAACAGCGGGGAGCACCTCTTTCCCACTGCATATCACTCACATCTTCCCTGACCTCTTTTCCCTCCTTGTACTCCTTCGCCTATTAGAACAGATTCTTCGTCGTTCGCCTGTCCATTTCCCAGTCCTAATCAACTGTTTCTGTGCTCCCCTCCAGTCACCCTCATATCTTCTCTCCTACCTTTTTTCTCCTGTCTAACTCGTCTGTCTCAATGTCTCTCGCCTCAGGACGGTATCGGCTACACAGGATCGACAGAGCCGACAGGTATCAAAGAGCTGGATGACCTGAGTAAGGAAATATCTCATCTGCAGAGGTGAGCCCACTAAACCCTAACTAGCAGTAGGGACAGTTTTGTTTCGCTTCCTGTGGGGAAAAAGTAGACAAGCTTTTAGTAAGGTGATGTTCTAGATCAAAGTTTTTTTCATACTATTGTACTGTTTGTATACAGGATGCATTGTACTCAACAGCTGTCAACATACTTCTCACTGTGTAACTCTATACAGATTGCTGACAAACATGAAAATGAATTGCATTAAATGGTCACAGTTGACTATACCTTTGTCGGTTTTTGGACTGTTAAATATATTGTTAAATATATTTTTATTATCACAAGAGACATTAATACAATCTCAGCTGAAGTAGCATGCTGCTTTTTGATGCTACATAATTTTTTCTAATGTAATTTGGCACCAGGGTTTAATATAATCATTACCCCAAATGGCCCAGAGTATGTTTAATTTAAAAAAACAAAACGAACAAAGACCCCACACAAAAAAACATGTTGGGCAACTTGATTAACTGGCTGCTGGCCTTTTCTGGCTATTGACAGCAGTCCAGGAAGTCATGGTCATGAGTTAACATTTGATGTAAATAGTTTTTTCTTGCAGTCAGTATTTTCACCCTATGGCCAAACTTGTGGCGTAAGAAGGAAGCAACTAAGAGAATGTGTCAAAGAATAGTGTATAAAGACTGCAGCATATGGAATCATTCCATTAGCATTTACAATTCAAAATAGATTTGCGCATACTGTAAAATACATTTATAAGCCAATAAAAAGTATTAAAAATTCATCTCAAGTAACCTTTTTTTTTTTTTAACAGGGCACTTGATAACGCACCAACAGTGACATAGTCATAATGAATGTGCTGCAGAAGGACTATGAGCGAGTTTAGCCTCTTTTTGTTTAGTCTCGATGCATTAGGGTGGCTTGACAAAACTAGAAAACCACAGTCAGAGATAACAGATATCGCATCACGTTAGCGGTTTCAGCATTCTTTGTTAAACCAGATATTTGGCTGCAGGCTCTGTGTACGTTCACGTAAAATGGGGCAGTTGATGAGTCGCTGGAGATCTGTAGTGTCCGTATAAAAAAAATAAAATAAAATAAATACCAGTAAAAAGTAACACTGTAGTTGGAAATAACAGATGAAAGTAATTGTTGTGAATTGATTTCCATTACAAGCACACAGAGTGCATCAGTTCACATTAATGCATTTATTTTACTGCTCGGTGCTGATGCCCATTAGACCTCTGAAACGTTGAACTTTTTACATTTAAAACATTAAAGGTTACTAGGTGTGTTCATTTCTTGTAAAATAGAAATCAATGTTGGCAGATCATTTTGATTGAATATTTTAATTCTGATTTCTCTCATCCATTATGTTGCCTGCAAATCTAGACAGAAAAATGAAACACTGGGTATAATTTTTGTCATTTGCCTCTCTTTCGTTTGTTGGTGAGTGATGTCCATTTTATAACCTCTCTGCCATTGTTTGGCTCCTGTTTTTCATCTGTAGAGACAAATTCATCCTGGAGCATGAGATCAGAGAAAAGGAGGAGGCCCTCAGACAAAAAAACAGTGATGTGCAGGTAAGACTGAATAAAATAAAATAATTTAGTTTGCCTGGTTAAAGTTAAGTTAAAGTTAATGGTATTCATGAGTAAATTCCAGTCCATTTTATTCTACAATTTAAAAGTTGTCAGAAATACTTCAAATCCAGCACAAATTGCATCATTTTGAGGGGAACTCAAGGCTTAATAACTCAGAAAAGATCATGCCTAATAGCTATACTTTCTGCAAACACATGTACCTCTGTGTGGGTTTTCCTTGACCCTCAGGACTTGCAGAATAATTTGGAAAGGGAGAGCAGCAGCTTGCAAGACCTGGAGTCCCAGAAGCAGGATGCCCAGGTACGCCTGGAGGAAATGGACCAACAGCGCTCCAGGCTTGAGGGAATGCTCAACGACATCAAGCAGAAGTGCCAGGATGAAACCCAGAAGGTTAGAGATGTGACACACTGAAGTGATGCGCATGTATTTCAGTTGAGAAATGTTATTGGATTTTGTGTTTGGCTACTGGTGACAGTGGTACACATGCATTTGTGGTTTTACTGTAGTGTAATCTTTTTGGTCTAAGCTGATAATGGTTTGGTGTCAGTGCAATCTTAGATATCAGGCCAGATGTCAAAACACTGGTCATCTGAGGTTAAGATTTGTTTACATGAAAGTGGTGAGAGTTAGTATTTTTAAACACATTCACCACATATACAATAAGGTCTTTGTTTAGAAAGTCAGTGTAACTGCTTAAGAGGCAGCTGTGCATATTTGGCTTTTAGTTTGTT